TCCGATTAGCTCCCTCCCTCCTTCCTTCCTTCCTTCCTTCCTTCCTTCTTTCATCCTCCCCCCACCGAGGGGGGGGGGGGGGGGGATATCCCCTCCCTCCCCTCCCTTGCTGCTCATTTCATAAACCAACTAACCCCCTTCCTTCCTTCCTTCCTTCCTTCCTTCCTTCCTTCCTTCCTTCCTTCCTTCCTTCCTTCCTTTTCTCATCCAGCATCAGCAGAGCTATGGGGGGGGGATATCCTCTCCCTCCCCTCCCTTGCTGCTCATTTCATAAACCAATTAGCTAATATCATTAATGATCCTTCCTTCCTTCCTTCCTTCCTTCCCTCCCTCCCTCCCTCCCTCCCTCCCTCCCTCATCCAGCCTCAGCAGGGCAATAGCGGGGGCAGCATCCCCTTTGGACGGCTGCAGCAGTCGGCTTTTGTCTTTTCTCCCCCCCGCCCCTCCTGCCAGCTGGTGGGATCCCTTTCTTCCTCTCTCCTCCCACAACTCCCCCCGCCCCCTGCATGCTTCCCAACCCAACCCCCCCCCCCCCCCCCAGCCCGAATGGCGATGGCTGTGTTTTGTGTGGCGGCTGGGCAGGAGGGAATCCGTTTGCCCGCATCCTTCTGCCGACAACTTACAGGTAGAAGAGATTCGCGGTGGTGATGAAGAGCTGCTGTGGTCGTTGCAACGGCTCCTTGGGCTTCTGTGCAGGCTTTCTTAGCCAGGCTTGGGCGAGTTAAGATTTCCGCAGAAGATTTTAGATTTTATTGGTGGGGAGGGGAAGGAAAGAGCCCCAAAGTTCTTGAAACTAAGGACAGTTGGTAGCAAGGGACAGCCGGGTTTCTCCCCAGAAGCACATGGAGGGAACTTAAAGCAAGGGAGCCGGGCAGGAAGTTGCCTCTTTGTGCTGTGAACCACAGCTGAGGTTTAACAGAGCATGGGTGAATTCCCATGTGAATAATAGGAAATATGGCCCTTTCAATGCTCAGCACCCTCCCTCGTTGGCCATGGGGGCTGGGTCTTGGGAGCTGCAGTTCGGCAACATCTGGAAGGCTGCAGCTGCTGAGTCCTCTGTTGGGTAGATTAACAGCAGCAACCTGTGGTGGTTACACAGAACAGGTAGTTCTCGACTTAGAATCACAATGGAGCCCAACATTTCTGTTGCTAAGTGAGACAAGTGAATTTTGTCCCATTTTATGACCTTGACACAGTGAAGTGAATCACCGTAGCTGTTCAGCTAATGACAGGTTGTTAAATGAATCTGGCTTCCCCCCTGACTTTGCTTAAAAGGGCATCGCACGACTCCGGGATTTTGCAACGGACATAAATAGTTGCCAGGCATCAGAATTTTGGTGCTGCAATGGATAGAAGTGTGAAAACGGTCCCTAAGTTACTTTTTTTCTGTGCCGTTATAACTTTACACGGTCCAACTGTTGTAAGTTGAGGACTATCTGTATTTATTCCAAAAGGCAGCTGTGATGGGAAGTGTTGCTACAGCATTTATAAATATCACAGCAGCACAATGTGAGGTGTGCTTGTTTAGAAGTAAGCTCATCTGCATTCAGTGGGATCTACCTGTGTAGAAGTATGGACAGGGTTTGTCAAATCCAAAGAGTGGGAATCTTCCTTCTTCTGCATCATAAAAATTTATAAATCCTATACTTTATCTGTGGGCATTCTTGTTCAGCTCATTGAAAAATGTGCTGTGAATAGCCACGTGCAGGATGGCGCTTTCATCTAATGTATTGCAGGAAAATAAAAAAAAAATGGGTCAATGTTCGCTGGGAGAGCACTGCCATTTCGGTTTCTATATACATAGCTAGGATAAAAGAGAAATGATTGAACCATGTCAAGTAATGTAAATTAATTTGCAGTAGCATGCAGGAAACAAAATGGAATCCAAACAAACAGAAGGCCAAAGAAACAAGATTTCTTAATTAGCAACCATTTGGTAATGAACTGACAAAGCAGTAAGAGCATTACCCTAATCTGAACAGTTAATTTTTGCATAAGGTGCTCTGTTTTGTGGTCGTTGCAGCTGCTTTGTGATTTGGTGATGAGTTTGACTTTCACACCAGAATAATCATTCATGAAACAGATTGGCATTTTTCAGTTTTAAAACAGACCTGTCCTGAGCAATTGAGATCGAGTCCTTGAGAAAGTTCACAAGCAGGGTGGGATGTAATTAACGTAGCTTTTGTGTTGTGGTGGTCCAGGTATTTTTTGTTACACCTTTGAACTCACCTCTTTTTTGTTTGTTTGCTTTTGCAGGCAGCAGATACTCTGGCAGTGCGGCAAAAGAGACGTATTTATGATATTACAAACGTCCTTGAGGGCATTGGACTTATCGAGAAGAAATCGAAGAACAGTATTCAGTGGAAGTGAGTAAGGGGTGGGGCGGGGGGGGCGATAGAGAAGCCCTGGCACTAGCTTCCATGGAAGGGGCTGCAATTGCGTTCACTGTTAGCTACTCCCATGTATGAATCAGAGGCAGAACAATTTATCTGAACAGCTGTGGGGTTTCTATGGAATTTCTCACTTCTCAGGTCATGGGTGTCTGAAAGGTGCTTTTTGAAAAGGCAACTGGGCTTTCTTTGTTTTTATTTGAAGTCGTTTCGCTCCTCATCCAAGAAGCTTTTTCAGTTCTGACTGGCTGACTAAATTGAGTCAGAACTGAAGAAGCTTCTTGGATGAGAAGTGAAATGTCTTCAAATAAAAACAAAGTCCAGTTGCCTTTTGAACAAGCACCTTTGAGACAGCTGGGATGTGTGTGTGTCTGAATGTTTTTCTGAAGCTAGCTTTGGAAGAATTTTATCAGTAGCTCCGCTGAGTGACTCTGTGTGTGTGTTTGTGTATAATATACACATCCATATATACATTTACATCTACATACATACAGGAGTGATAAAGAGGAAGTTCAGTCCTATTGCTTTGACCAGGTACTTGATCTTCCAGGGATGAGAATTTTTGAGACTTTTATTAATGGATTTCCCCACCCACCCTGCCCCCTGGGAAAACATAATAATGCAGAGAAAAACTTTGGAAAAGGATATTTGAGTTCTCTCCCGGGTGCATTAAGGGTGTCACTGAATTCTCTTTGGAAAAGATAGAACTAAAAGAAAAACCAAAAGGCCGCCTTCTGCAGGCAGTATGTGTGATTGAAATGATCATTGATATGGGATTCTTAATACACTCTGAAAAGGGCGGATCCCTTGATTTCTCTTGTTCTCCCGTTCTCGTCAGAGGTGTGGGGCCTGGCTGTAATACCCGAGAAATTGCCCACAAGTTGATTGAGTTGAAAGCAGAGATTGAGGACCTGGAACATCGGGAACGAGAGCTGGAACAGCAGAAGATGTGGGTGCAGCAGAGTATCAGGAATGTCACCGATGATGTACAGAACAACGAATATCCTTGGCGTCAACTCTGGTTCTTCCCGCTTTCGCGTTTCTCTGATGCTCAAATGCAGATCCTTTCTGGCGATTCTGGTCTGGCCTAGCTTTGCAGTTCTACCTCCTGAATATTTGGGATGGCGGTGCCCAGAATTCAGTCGTTGGCTGGGAATTCTGGAATTTGTAGTCTCAGAGCGACTGCATCACCCATCCTTACATCATTTATGCCAATTTGTGTAGGACAATTTTTTTTTTTTAATGCACGCTGTTTTCTGATAGAAATGTTTCTAGGCAGGTAACCTAATTTGCCCAGGATAATAGAAAACAGCTAACATCCGATTAGAAAAGGCTTTTTATCCCACTGTCCTAATAGCGTGAAATAATAATGTTCCTTGTGTTTCAAATTAGTATCCTTTTTTCTCATCCGTGCTCTGATTTTTCCCTAGTTCTTCCTTAGATGTTTTTCCTGTGTTGGTAGCCTGTTGGTATATTTCCAGTGGAGAGCCACAGTGAACAGTACAAACTGGTTGGGCTCCAATTTTCCAGGATTGGTGGTGAGAGGGTAGGACAAAAGGAGGATTAATTTTTAACAGGATTGAGACTTGTAGGCTACATTTATCGGGTGCATCTATCTTGGAATGGCAGAAAACTGCTGATTTTCAACAATCCAGATTGAGAGAGTTCAATCCTAGGGCAGCGACAGGTATTTATCAAGACACAAGAGATCAATTGCTGCGAACTCCTCATAGGCCTCTGGAAGGGCGTCTGGCCAGTAAATGCTCAGTTCCGTTTAGCCGCCCTGACTCCACCCCAATAAAAAAGGGATTACAGGGTCATGAAAAGAAATAAAAAATACTATTGGGTGGGGGAAGGGGAATGATCTTGCTGAGGTTCAGAGGCAGCTGGGTTTTTTTCCCTTAACTTCAGGAACATTAGCGTATGTGACAGATGAGGATCTTTGCAAGTGCTTCCCAGGTAAGGATGGCGTGTCGCTTCATCCCTGCTATCCCTGCCTGTTTAATATAATTCCACCCTTGCAACATCTTTGCAAGGGAGTTGGTCCTTCTCTGGATCAACTTATCTTTGATGTGCATTTCTGGGTAGAATTGGGAGTGTGGGAGATGGGAAGGCACTTCCTGGCAATTAGGAACAGAAAACACTGCCCGGCTGGGGTTAGGAAAAGCAAAGAATGCGTCTTTTTGTGTTGCTTAGCTGTTTCCTGAATGCAGCATTTTGGTTTCTTGTTGCAGGCGACACATTGCTGGCCATCCGAGCTCCGTCAGGAACCCAGCTAGAAGTTCCTGTCCCTGAGGTGGGTGCAGATGTTTGGTGATGCTTTGGCTCTCCCCAAGAAGTCAGCATGCGGCAGCTTCAATGACCGAGGGCCTTTTGCAGCCGAACATATTTGACAGGTTGCAAGCAAAAAGAGGGGAAAGCCCCCTGCAGAAAAGTTACCGATCAAAAATGGTACTCCATTAATATTCAGATACGTTCAAGAGCAGTCTGACATCGCTCGCTCTCCAGGGAATTGAGGCGCAGAAAGAAGAAAGTTAAGAGGGGGAGGATACCAGGAAAGGATACCAGGAAGAAAAGAAAAAAACCAGCGGTGAAAAAGAAAGCAACTCAATAGTCCCATCCGCGTGAAGTCTTTTGTGGGTTATTCCCAAGGGACTATTGCTGTTTGTAGAAATATCTCTTTGGCCGGAGGAAAGATTTCCCAACAGGAGCAGCATTAAGAGACGTGGACTTCCGACTCCCAGGGTTGGGTCCCCTGGCTGGGGAAGCATGGGAGTTGAAGTCCTTGCATCTTAAAGTTGGGAGACCCTGGCCGAAGGGGCCTTAACGGATTCACTTCTGCACGGACCACATGTTCAACTTTCCTAGGGTCTCTAGTTAAAACAATGGCAAGCTCTAAGGTGCCTGGAACTGTACTGAGCTAAGCTGCCCCCATTCCACTTGGCATGATAGGCTACTTTCTCCAAGAAGCGTCTGGTTGGATGTGGGGCTCAACGAATTGAGAGGGGCTTCTCCTTTAGTGGTGGCGGGAAGGTTTGGGGTTCACCTGTCCATAGAGAACACCTGGAGAAAGAATTCCATACTGACACCGATGGTTTCCTTCCAGTCTTGTGATGACACCTGATGGCGCCGTTGCACTGATACCACCACCGTATACAGTTCGTACACTTGCGTCCATGCAACCTCTCTTTTTTTCCTTTTTCTCTAGGGCTTAAACGGCCAGAGGAAATACCAGATCCACCTAAAGAGCAGCAACGGTTCCATTGATGTTCTTCTAGTAAACAAGGATGCCTGGAGCTCTCCTCCGGTGGTACTTCCTGTCCCTCCCCCGGAAGACCTCATTCAGTGCCAGCCAATCACTCCCTCTAAGAAGCCATCCATTCCCCCGTCCCAGGAGACCCCTCTTCCCAGCGGTGCCAACCCTCCTGGGTCTGTGCCCAGCAGCACGCAAGACCACAGGCCCTCCGTGCCCCAATCGGCCGCCGTGGCAGGTGAGCTTTAAAGGGACGAGTGAAAAGCACAGCCTGCGTTGAAGTTTAAACGCCTATTTTAAAAGTGGGCCAGTAACTATGCTATTGACGTTTTCTGACTCAGAACTTTGGCTCCCAGGGCACCTCCAGGAAGGTGAGGCTGATCCTGATTAAATTAGGTTAATTCTGCAGAAACAGAGTCCCGTGAAATCAAGGACCAAATTTGGGGTCCACTTTGTCCTTGCCCTGTTTTCCTTGCCTTTCATCCTCCTTTGAATCTCTGCTACAGCCTGAGATGAAAATCACATCGTGGCACATCGTTTCTTAGCAGGAAACCTATTGAGCAAAAGGTTTGTTGTGGACCTTTACTTTTCTCCATCCAAATAATGGCATCTTCTCCATAAGGTCCCTTCCAACTCAGTTAATCTGTAAATATCCAATATGCAAATATCTTTTCTGGCCCTGTTTGCAATCAGACATATTCCAAGCCAGGCATCCCCAGGCAGGAAAGATTACCTGGGATTTAGATGGCAAACCTCACATCAGAAGAGCTGGGATGAGGTCGGCTAATCCTTTCGGAGAGGTTTTCTTGGAGAAGCGACCGAATTCTGCTCTAAAAATAAAAACACTCATTTTGAAAATTGGGAATCTGGATGAGACAGGAACCTGTTTTAACAGTCCTGCTTGGACCATCCCTTGCACTAGAAACTTGGCAACGGGGCAGTGACTATCAATATGCCCTACCCTGAGCTGCCGTAGAGTAATGGGAGGGTGCTAACTGGGGGTTTCTTTACAAGGCCGGAAAAAGTGCACAGGGCAGCTAAGATGATCAAGGACCTGGAGACGAAACACATGAAGAATGGTTGCAGGGCTTGGGTGTGGCCGGTCTAGACAAAAAAAGGACCAAGGGGAACATGACAGCAGTGTCGCAGTATTTTAGAGACTGCCACAAAGAAGAGGGTATCAACTTATTTTCCAAAGCACCAGGAGGCAAGATGACAAGCAATGGATGGAAATTAACCAAGAGGAGAGAAGCAACCTGGATTTAAGGAGACATTTCCTAACAGGACAATTAACCAGTTGGAACGAGTTGCCTTCAGAAGTTGTGGGGGCTCCATCACTGGAGGCTTTTAAGAAGAGACTGAACAAACACTGAATCTGAAATGGTATAGGGTCTCCTACTTGAGCAGGGGTTGGACTAGAAGACCTCCAAGGTCCCTTGCAGCTCTATTATGATCGATTGAACTTAAAAGTACTTTTCCTGACGGCTGCTATGAGCCTGCCAGCTGCTTTTCCCTGGCTGTGTGGAATCCCATCCTACACAATAGGTCAGGGGTGTCCAACCTTGGCAACTTTAGGACTTGTGGCCTTCCAACTCCCAGAATTCCTCAGCCAGCGAAGTCTTAAAAGTTGCCAAGGTTGGAGACTCCTGCAATAGGTGGTTGGGTGGCATGCAAGCTTAAACAATAATTTATCTTTCTGTCACCCTCTTCTCATCGCAGAGACAGGCACCTCGACAGCAGAATCAAAAAGTAGTGTGGAGCTGGACTCGCTTACCCCTTCGACCGTACCGGCCAGCCCGCCAGCTGGGCTTGATACGCAGCCCCTCCAATCCTCAGCCTTGCTGGACAGCAGCTCTGTCTCGCCCAGTTCCTTTACCTCTTTCGAGCCAATCAAGTCCTTCCCCACAGAAAGTAAGTGCTCTGGGTTTCCAGCTATCGGGTGGGCGGTTAGGGTGGATCAAAACTGACAGAACCTGAGTTTGTTTGGCTCTGACCTCCTGCATTGTACTTTGATGGGGTGTGTTTTGTTTTTTTTTAATTCCAAAGTTATTGGGTGTGTTTGACAGTCTCTTACTGGCTCCTTTTCACAGATGTTCTTCTAAAAGAAGGGCCCCCAAACTTGGCAACTTTAAGACTTTTAAGACTTTTAACTTTGTGGACTTCAACTCCCAGAATTCCTCAGCTAACATGACTGGAGGAGGAATTCTGGGAGTTGGAAGTCCACAAGCCTTAAAGCTGTCAAGTTTGAAGACCCCTGTTCTAAAACGAAGCTGAGCTAGAGGAAGTGGGATCAACCACCAGGAGAAATGAACTGTGCAGATAAGTGTTTCCCAGCCAGGACAACTTTTAAGCTGTGTGGACTTTCAACTCCTAGAACTCTCCAGCAAGCATGAATTCTGGGACTTGAAGTCAGCGCGGCTTAAAATGATCCTGGCTGGGAAACATGGGTATTGACAATGAGAATCTTCGAGTGACATAAAAACAAGGACTCTTAGCAGACTGCGGTTACTGGAATTGTATCTTGGCCTTTTCCCTACCTGGGCTCTTGACTACGTTGGGATTACTGCTTCCAAAATTCCTCTCTCTCTCTCCATATGGGCAATGGCAGCCCCCGAACACCTGAAGGACTTGGAAACAGAGGTAGCCTGTGCCACAATAATTACGTTGGTCTTTAAGATGTGCAACCTTTGTTCTTTTTTTTTTTTCCAGTACTGGAATTTCCCAAAGAGCTTTCAGAAATGTTTGAGCCAACCAGAGGTGCGTTGCTAGTGTCCCTGTAGCAAACCTTGTTTGTGCTTTGCCTTTTTTTTCCTTTAGAAGTTCAGAAAAGTCAGATGTACCGTTTCGCAAACTTGATTAAGGCCCCCCCTGTTGGGCCCTTGTAGAATAGCAACAGAAGGAAGCACTTTTCTTGGCTTGTGTCGGTTTTCTACTTTTAAGGGCGACTTCAAGTGCTGGACGATTAAAACCTTTAAACCTGTTTACTGAAGGGACATATCAGGGACATTTCATTTGGTTACCTGCATAAACCAAACCCCCCCTGGAGAAAAGAAGAAGCAGCTGCTAAAAATGCATTGTTTTGATGTTGCTCGTGCAGGAGCCTGCAGAATCTGCCCTATTAGTGCTATGTAGTCAACCGAGGCGCGAATTGAGACCTGAGACAGAAGAAGATGGGCTGGAAGAATTGCCCCGTCTCAAATTTGGGGCACTGGGTGACACGCTCACCTATTTTGCAAGCACGTAAATGTCTCACACCTCCTTCTTCCCACAGAGTGCATGAATTCGGAGTTGCTTGAAGAGCTGATGTCCTCTGAAGGTAGGACTGCATTTTCTTCCGCTCCCAGGTTTGGAGGGGAGGCCACATCAGATAGCATAGAAAACCAGGGAGCGCAGCTGTAAAAATCCGCATTGTTTTAGTCGAGCACGGCCGGCTGGGGGATCCTGGGATGTGGTTGTCTTAAAAGTTGCTGAGGTGGAGGAAGATTGGGCTAAGGGTTATGGGATTGCTGAGTCGGAAGAGTCCCCTAAGGGTCCTAAGGGTCTCTTTTTCTCTCCCCCCCCCCCCCCCGGCAGTGTTCGCTCCTTTACTCCGCCTCTCCCCACCTCCCGGAGACCACGACTACATCTACAACTTGGATGAGAGCGAAGGGGTTTGTGACCTTTTCGACGTCCCGATTCTCAACCTCTGACTTTTGACTGCCTGGATGGATGGACTTTGGGATACGGATTCTTCCCCCCACCCCCCACCCTTTTTTTTTTTTAAAAAAAGGAAACTTGTCTCAAAGGAATGTGGGGGAAAGCCCCAAACTCTTCATTCTGGATTCTTTGTCCGCTAGTGCTCGAGTGAAACACAGAGCTGCTCGGGTCTAGACCGAAAACCAATCAGGACGAGAGTCTTGTCTCCAGCTTTTTTCTTTCCTTTTCTTTTTTCCCCTCTTCCCTGGCTTATCTTGGTCCCGTCCTTTGTCCTTTCACGGATCCTGAGTGGGCCTCCTTCCCAGGCACCTGCTGTTGAATCTTGCTGAGCAGTAAAAGCGCTTCCTTGAGTCCCCTTCTAGCCTGTTTTGGCATCCCTGCACTGCTGGGGGCACTTTGCACCTCCTTCCCTCCTTCCTAATTACCAACAGAACAGCCAAAACGGAGCCAGGTGGTTTGTGTGTGTGTGTGGGGAAAAAAATCCAGCCCTGTCCTCTCTTTTGGCTCGTTCGTAGAATTCAAACGACGGGGCGGCCTCTCTTTAGCAATTGTCTGCTTTGGGCATGATGGAATGTGGGCCTCTCAGCTGCCTTTTTTTCTTTTCTTTAATGTGCTTAGAAGTGGCGTTTCAAGTAACCCTCCTGGTCCATCTTTTCAACACAAAGCACGAAGCCCTTTTCCCCCCCCTGTAGGTTGCCTAGACTTAATTCGTGTGTGTGTGTGTGTGTGTGTTTGCGTGTGAGCGCGTTTTGTTTTTAAGGTGCCAGTTTTGCACAGTCACTTTTCCTCCAAAGAGTCAGAACTCAGAAAGGATTTTGTTAGAAAGGAGGTGTGCAGAAACAAGTTGGGACTTCAAGCAGGTGGGACCTACCTGCCTGTTGTCAACCCAAAGCTGCTTTTGCACACGCACCGTCCTGGGTTGTCCCCCTCCCTCCTTCCTCCCCCCCCCCATCTGCAGCTGTGCTGCATCAGGAAGGGAAGAGCTGGCTGGGACTAACTGGGAGGCTTGCTTTCTCTCTCAAGCCCCTCCCTCCCTGCCCCGATGTCTCCATCGGGACCCTCCGACGGAGGAGATTTAGTCACAGCGAAGGGAGCCTCCCTGGCGTGTCCTCCTTCCGTAGCTGCTAGAGTAGGGCTTTTCGGGGTGCGATGTTTCCCTTCACGATTTGCTAGACGTATTACGTTGCCGGTGCTGTTGGCGCAGTCCGACTTCTCTTTGGAACTTAACCACGGCGTGCCCTTTCCCGCGTTTCTCTCCGACCGGCGCACCCTCAGCCTCTCCATCGGGGGTTTTCCCCTGATCTCGAGGACATATGGAAGGAGCCCTCGCTTTCTGCCCCTCCCCAATCCTGCACTTCCGAACTCCCCCCTTCCCCACCCCCTTAAAAGCCATATCCATTTTCCACCACCCGTCGGCCTGGTGGGTTACACCGCGTGCAAACCCCGGAACCTCAACTTTCCTGATTCCTAAGACTGTCACAGGTGCCGAAGAGGCGCCCCACCTCCTCGCAGTGGGGCTGGTCGGTCGGGAAGGGTTCCGATCCGAAGTGGGGGGGGGGGAGCTCTCCCACATCGCAGCCCTTGAACTGCCTGGCTGAAAGAAAAAAAAAAATCTCCTTTTGAGGGGACTGAATGAATTGTGCTACTCAGAATTGCGGAAGGATTCAATGTGAGTGGGCAGGCCTGACCCTGATCCCCCCCCTCCCTTTCCCTCCACCCCCTGTAATCAGGGAATGTTTCTATTTCCATTCGGGAGACCGAGGCAAAGCTGGGTGTCTCAAACTTGACAGATACAGGATGGGCGGACTTCAACTCCCAGAATTCCCTAGCTAGACATACTGGCTGGGGGGGGCGGGGTTCTGGGACTTGAAGTCCACCCGTCTTAAAGCTACCACACCAAGGTTGAAAACACCGGGCTAAAAGATCCACAAAAGCAACTTTTGAGTTTTTCTGGGTAGGAAATAGAGATGTAATAAATAGAGATTCTTCACCTCTCCAGCCTAGGAGCATTCGTCTCTGCCTCCAGGTAGATGACTTGTCTCAAAAAACCCCAAAACTCTGGAGTCCTGTTCGCCTCTCCCAGAAGGACACCGTTCCACCTGCAGGGTTTCTGAGCTGTTCTTCTGGCTCTGTGTGGCTGTCCCCAGCGAGACACAGGCCTCTCTCCATTGCATCCCCTCCTGCCTATTATACGTGGTTTGGGCCTGCTCCTGTTTAGCAGCCGAAACTTCGTTTCTCTTTGCTGTCACCTTCTTGCGCCCCTGACCCGTTGGGTGACGTCCCCCAAAAGATGCAATAGAGGAAATGTGTGCGGGTGGGGAAGGGAGAGAAATGAGTTTTGATTCATATAAAAAAGATTATTTTTATACTTTTTTCCAGCAGATGAAAATTGCCTGTAATATTTGTACAGTTTTTTTTTTTTTCCTGAGTGAATAAACGAACTTTCCAAAACTTTCTGCCTATCGTGTTGTCATAAAAGAAGGCATTTCATACCCTCCGTGGCACATCCGCCATCTTGCGATGCCAAGGGCTTGGACTACAAAATGTTCCGAGTGGAGATGGTTTAAGGCTTGGCACCTGACTAGCAGGGTCTTCTTTTCAGGTAGCCTCTTTGCATCCCAGGTGGGTTTATTAGTAGTACTTGAGAATGAAAGGCGAGAGTAGAATAAATCCTGGCTGCCACAGTAAGGACCCGTATAAAGATAAAAGAACTGCCACCTGCTTGGATTGAAATAATTACACAAGCCCTTAAAAAGGACTCCAGAGTTGATCTATTGAACACAGCACTAGATCTGGGGTCCAATTTGGTGTAGGGTCAACAGTAAATCAGCAACCTCTAGAAAACAGACAAATGAGGCTTTTACTACACTCGTTGTCCCCGAGTGATGGAGAAGGAAGAGTAATTGTATCCAGGACAAATCAAGCGGGAGAGACAGCGGCAGGATAAATACCCTTGCTCACTTGACTTGTTCCAGATGCAAGAGTGTTCTGGCTCCATCACCCAGGGACAATAAAGGATTCCAAATACATTATAATTCCTCTCTTAACTCCTCTGTAGTTTAGCAAAACCCACATACCATCAGTTTCAGTGATGCTGTCGAAGAGGTGTCGTCTAGAGCAACTCGCTTCCAGAAGTTGTGAATGCTGCAACACTGGGAAGTTTTTAAGAAGAAATTGGACAACCATTTGTCTGAAATGGCATAGGCTTTCCTGACTGAGCAAGGGGCTGGACTAGAAGACCTCCAGGGCCCCTTCCAACTCTGTTGTTCTATCCTTTTGTTTTTGAATCGGGATAAGTGTCTGCCTCACCAATGCCTCTGATTCCCATGTTTTTTTATGGGCATCGTTGAAATCTACAGTTGTCTAGGAATGGAAAAAAACGGAATTGGAATTTGCTCCTACAAATTGCTGACTGACTTAGGAATCTCCACGCTCATGGACAGTTGAGACTAGAAAAAGCACAGAGAAGAGCAACCAGGATGATTAGGGGGACTGGAGGCTAAAACATACAATGAACGGTTGCAGGAACTGGGTTTGGCTAGTCTGGTAATGAGAAGGACCAAGGGAGACATGATAGCAGCCTTCTAATATTTGAGGGGCTGCCACAGGGAGGAGGAAGGGGTCAAGCTATTTTCTAAAGCACCCGAAGGTCAGACAACGAACAATGGAAACTGAACAAGGAGAGATGTAACCTGGAAATAAGGAGAAACTTTCTGAGAGTGAAAACAATCAACCAATGGACAAGTTTGCCTTCAGAAGTTGTGGGAGCTTCATCGCTAGAGTCTTTCAAGAAGAGATTGGTCTGCCATCTGTCAGAAATGGTGTAGGGTCTCCCTCTTGGGTGCAGGGTTGGACTAGATGATCTACAAGGTCCCTTCCAAGTCTGATCATCTGCTAAATCTGTTTCTCCTGAAGTGAAAATCCGAGAACTGGCGTTCAACAGCTGTGTAAAGTTTTGCATCAGGCAAGGAGCAGAGCACCATCATGGAAAAATGGAACGGATCCAGTATGGGATTGGGAAGACTGGAGAACCTTAGAGGATGGTGGCAAGAAGGGGATAAGTTCTTTGTAAGACACGTGAAACCCCTCCAAAGAGACGATGAATGAAGTCTGCGGAAGGCCTGCGACTGCCCCCAGCAAGCCAGCTGCTCCTCTTCTTCCTCGGCCAGCCAGAAGCCAGGTCTGTTGGCCAGCCTAGATAGTTGCCAGGGTTTGTGGCTCAGCATCTTCTGACCAAGGACTAAGAGTGGGACTTCCCCCTAAGGAGACGATGATGATGGGCATCGTAGTACAATTCCAGGAAGGAGCAGAATGGAAAGCTGGGGGGGGGAGGGAAGAAGAGGGGGGCTATCCTGGAGATGGGTCCTCAGCTCTTTGATGCAGCTGTGGGCTCGCTGGACTGACCCTCGTCCGAAGGTTTAGGTAACCCCCTGAAACAAGCCCAAGACTGGGATCATTGGCGGGACTCAAGTCCAGAGTTTTTCATTTCTTTAAAATTTCATTGTAATGTATGCTGATTAGCGTACATCCAAAGTGACAATAAAGTTATTCTACTCCTGTTCTGTTCTACTCTTTCCTATTCCATCCCATTAATTTCTATTTCTGTTCCATTTCTATGCTACTCTACTTCTGCTCTATATTCTGTTTTATTCTGTTTTATTCTGTTCTATTCTTTCCTATTCCATTCTATTTCCTATTCTCTCCTTCCCATCCCATCCCTATTCCACTCCATTCATTTCTATTTCTGTTCCATTTCTACTAGTCTATTTCTCTTCTTAGTATATTCTATTCTATTCCATTTTATTCTGTTCTATTCTTTCCTATTCCATTCATTTCTATTTCTATTCCATTTCTATGCTACTTTATTTATTAGTCATGTGATTAAGATAACAGGGATAAGTATAAACGTAGTTATGAATACATGAAATGGGTACATATAAGAAAAATAAAAGAAACAATAGGACAGGGATGGTAGGCAGGTTGGTACGCTTATTGCATGCCCCCTACAAACCTCTTAGGAAAGAGGTGAGGTCAATAGTAGACAGTCTAAGGTTAAAGTTTTGGGGGTTTGGGGAAGAAACCAGAGTCAGGTTGAGTATTCCAGACATTGACCTCTCTGTTGCTGAAGTCGTTCTGCTCTATATTCTATTTTATTCTTTCCTATTCCATTCCACTCTATTTCCTATTCTATTCTCTCCTATCCCATCCCATCCCACCCCTATTCCATTCCATTCATTCCCATTTCTGCTCCGTTTCTACTAGTCTATTTCTCTTCTTAGTATATTCTATTCCATTTTATTCTGTTCTGTTTTATCCTATTCCCTTCCATTCCTTTCTATGTC